AGAAGTCGTCCTCTCCATTCCTCTCAAGCTTTGAGAAGGATTGCTTTGGACGGAGGCTAAGACAATTTCGGTCTTGGTGGAACGTGGACGTCCGCTCCGTGGCACTTCGTCGAAGTGAAACTCTCTCTAGAGAAGCGGCCGTACCACCTATAGCAGGTGGCGAGGGATGGTGCAGTACTGCCCATCGATGACTGCAATTCATTCCGCTCTTGAGTGGCGGAGTGACCAGATCGGTAGTAATGAAGCAGAAGACGCCTGTAGTCGTGTCAGTCGAAAATAATTCAAATGTTGATAACTCACTTCCAAAGATAAAGTGCAATACTGTTCTCTTGTTATGATGATCTGCTAAGCGTGACCTCTTACTGACCTTTTCTCCGTGGCTCTGCCCAGGCGCTTTCTTGCGCAGCATGGTTGCGAAATACATGACCAAAATTTTCTCAAAACTTTTGGGACACCCTCAAGAATAAACATTGCATAATACATCAGTGGATTTACTATGGTAGGGTCCCGACGTGCGCCAAGAGTGCGATGTTCCGACGGATGATTGGCGATCAGGAACGATGTCGTTCCCATTGATGGAGCCTGCGAAGGCTATGCGTATAAATATGTGAATCGGAAATATCATGTAGTCAAAAAAAGATCGTTGAACTATCGCTGTACAACAAAAAGTGAAGTTTAGAGGGCAAGATACGTATCTGACCCCTTTCCATATTTCCTTCATCTTTTTTGTGATTTCATTTTAGGGCTTGAAATCCTTCTTTGAGCCAGCTTTTAAGGCCATATGCCTATATTAATTTCACAGGTACTACTCGAAGTGCTTTTTCCCTTTCATGTTCCACCAAAAATAACATTTTGCTAGTCTTATCCTATAGCGTACCATTAAGACAAATGCATGGACCGGAATAATGAATCCGCAATGAACTGGAAAAGGTTCTAAATTCATTTGTATATTTATTTGTTGAGCCGATTCATGCACTGATAGAGTAATCGCGACGATCTGTAAACGTAAAAAGAAAACTATAATTGACCCTATTCACCTTCTACAAAAACTTGCATCGGCAGCCAATTCAAGGTTCATTTTCACCCGGCAATTCTTCGACCATGAGAAAACAACTACGAAAAGTGAATATTTGAGAAATGCAAAGTCAAATATTGACTTATTGATTGGCTGTCTCAATGATGTTATAAGTGAATTCCTCTAATTGTTCACCGATCGTCTTTTAATCGTACGCCACCGTCCTCGTTATATCTTCATATAATTGCAGTCATTTGACGCGATCAAACGTCCCTGATCGAGGGCGAAGAAGATGTGGATTCAGAACGAATAAAACACTATCGAAATACTAGTCAAGCAGGAGTTCACAATGAGGTCAACGAAAAAGCATGGCTGGTGAAAACCCTTTTGAATAGTACGTCCGATAAACGGTTATTGTAATGATGCAATGACATACCATTTCTAAGGGCGGCAACTTTCTATGCATTCGGTGCTAGACCATTTGGAACGCCACGATTACGATCGGCGAATTGAAAAGAAGTAATGTATCAGTAACTCAGCCAAGTCAAATAAAAGGAGCTGATTTAGCGTACTACTTCCCGAGTAGTCAATTAGTATCTCAAGTCAATCAATAAAAAAAATAAAAATAAATAAAAATAAAAACATAAAACAAACATAAAAATTGAGTTGAGTTTTGTTATGATCACTTCTGGTCTAGAGCATTGATGAAGGCCAAATACGCTCATAAGAAGAAAAATATGGAAAAAGGGTAAAGTCTCTGAGGTCAATCGGTCTCTCAGATGGGATGCGCCCCGCATTAGTTTCCAATTAGAATCGTGCTGGCGTTTCGAAAGCGTAAAGGCCTATACAATGACTTCTGGTGCCCAGCCGATGTACAAGTCAGCATTGTTATCCCCCCAAACAAGCAGTGATACCAACAGACCAAACCCGGAGAGATGAAAGCTTGGTTGGTCAGGGCTTGTATCAATCCAGCATCCGATCCCTCCCCCTGCGCGTGTTTAGTGCGCCTCTTGCCATTACACCACCTTTGTCCATAAAAACGTTCATGAGCTAGCTGAAATAATGAACTTACTTCAACTAATCTCGGGTATGTAGTTATTTTACCACTATTCCATAGGTATATATCATTTGTGAATAAAACAATGTTCATTTATCGCATGAAGATGGGAAACGGGTCGCATTCCACAAATTACGATTTTTCTTTGTTATCATTTTTGTTTGAACATCCGGATTTTCCTCATTCGTTTCGATTCCTTCTTCAGTTCACTCAATCTTCGTGAACATCTGGAAGCACCTGGACGGTTCTTTTCAATTTAAAGTTTCATTCTTACCCTCGTGTCAGTAAGATAAGAATATAGCCAACATCCCTACTCCTGATACCCCAGTTTTAGTTCGGGCACTTCATTCCAAGGTAAATTTTGGAGAGGGAGAGTTGAATCGGCTAAGAAGTAATTCCTGTTATTTACTGGTCAGTAGGTCTCATAAGACGATGTGAGAATACCGTACGGCTCCGCCTACTCGCCACCCTCTTCCATACTACAGCGGCCGAAAAACTTGACCTGAAGGATTGGTTTAAAAGCGAGTCGCTCGCGTACAGTAATCTATGACCAGGTGCAATGTGTTTCGACGACAATTTACGGCTCTCTTATCCTCATCATTGTCGTCTTATTGGACGCCACTACGCCACGCGTATTACTTAGATATTTCAAGTGAATCGCCCGGTCACGCAATAAATTCTTTCCTACTTTCTATGCCCATGACTACATAGTTTTCTTCCTACAACGACGAATGTCTTGTTATGAAATCTGATTCAGCGGCCACAGTAACCAGCAATTTTGGTCAAAGGTTGCTTGGATTATCGATATTTGAACAACCAATCATGACCCGCGAAGACCACACAATATCTATCGTTTGACCTCATCAACTACTATCAACTAAGCCTATCATAAGTATATGATAAATGATCAAGATCTTCTTATATCGTTGATCTTTTTCTTTTTGGAATCTTTACCATAGCATACAGCGATGTAATACTGGGCTTTGGAACTGATTCCTTTTGGTTTTCGAACTTTACTGTGCTTCCTCAGGAAGGGAAGTATTGCTTTCATGGCGGCTCATCTTTCATCTTCCAAACAAGTATGAAATTTTAGAAAAGCTATATTAATTTGCTAAATATTTTGCAGAATGATATTTCTTTTACTTGGGACGATAACTCAGATTGTTCTCAGCAAAGATCATGTAATTCACGATGGTGGATATTGTGGCACACATGCTATGCCGTATCGAGTATCAGTCAACGATCAGGGAAGATTAAGTAAGTGTTAAGTAATAATGATCCTTTTGGGAGATTATATTTACTGAAATCGATTCAAATCAATCGTTGGGAGTGCGTACCCATTATGCCCATTAATCCATCAAACTTAAGGGATAAACGATAGAAGGATAACACATTGTTTATAATATAGATAATATATGTTTTCTGAGAGTATATTTGTTGTTTATACTTATCCTTCCCAAAAGACCTGCTGGATTTGTGTTCTGCTGGCCCAGTATAGCCGCATTTACGCCCATTTTGAATTGTTTATCTGATGTGTGGAATGTGGATAAATACCAATAATTCCTAACTCATAACGGAAAGCCTCTTCATCTGTAACAGAGGTCACCTCATATGAACACCCATCGAGAAGCTGCAAGATGCACTCATAGCTAACCGCAATAGAAAGAGAGTTGAGCGAGTTTAGCCGAGTTACTCTTCATTACCTCTGTAAGTAAGGCTCTTCATTATATCTGAAGTCATTACTTTGGGTAGCTTGGGTCTTTTCCTCCATCATAGGAACCGATAGTAGTAGAACGAGCGGTATACCTCTCTTCAACAGAGTCGAATTTTCTGAATTATTTTCATAAAAGAGGATCTGTGAATTGTTCAGAACTATCGTGCAACTCTCTACCATCGTGTATCGATCTAGAGCAAAACGATCAATCTTCACGAAATCAAAGCAAGGAGGAGGATGAAACAGCAGTGGTAAACCGTTTGTTTACTTAATAATTCTGGGTCTTGGCTAGAAAATTACCGTCTCCAATCGGGATGCACGTTTGGTTGCGTGTAAGGGGATTGAATCTTGACTACATCCGCTGATCCGCTAGGCAACTACTTGGATGTGTCACAGTTCGAGCACTTAAGTCATGTTTTACCTAGTAGGGGTCCTGCTATCTATTCTATCGTCGAAAATATCACAGTGGAGCCTGTCCCATTCGCTAGCTCAATTAACCGATTTCACACACTCCATCTTGAGAAAATTTTCTTGGGTCACCCGAAAGTCAGTCCACGGCATTGCTCACAGACAGAGGGTGCCCAAAAGCCCGTTCAATTCTGAAGCCAAAGGGTTTTGAAATAGTCATCTGGTCCACCGTTAGGATGCGACAGAAACGGTCCTTACGTACACTTCGATGTCATTATACCGCACCTATGAAGCCCGTTGCACATTCCGGTGAGAATGCTTCTTTTGCTTAGCTCCTAGGCTACCCATGTTCCCATTTTTCCGTAATCTTCGAAAATTGAGGTATTTTTCACGAAGGCGACCGACAGTGTATACAATACTGCTAATTCCATGTTTGACAACAAGTGAACTGTCTCTCATCAGCAGAAGCGGGCACTTCAATTTACTGTGATAGTGCTTCTCTCATTCTTTGATCTTCGCTCTATTCTGTTCGCAACATGTGGGGACCAGTTTTGATAGGCTCAAGATGTTTGGGATGTTTCAACGGTCATCAAGTTAAGTGGGGCCTTTGGTGAACTATTCGGCGAGAGGTCTATTGCGCTTGACGAGGCATGAATAAAGGCCATAATGGGTATGGTCAATAGGATGCTCTCGCCCGAAATCATGTACAACCAAAGATCACTTCTGATCGGATACGCTCATCACGTGTTATTACGTTGAAGCAGAAAATGTTTCAACTGTGGGATGATATCCGGGAGGAGGTCTAGTGGGTATTGTGCAAGCTGATGAAGCTACTCGAACAACCGAGAAGCTACTAAAGTAACTTAGACCGTACCTGTTCCTACTGCTCCTTAATGATCCTGGCTGTATGGATTCAGCTTCGCCGCAAGCCTACGTCTTACAACCCCACGATAGGCCTTTCTGGTATGGTATCACAGTCATGCCCATAACCCTTTGTGCCCCGGCTCAAAATACAGCTAATCGTTTTGGGCGTAAATTCTTTATGTAACAGTTTGCATAAAAACAATAAAATCTGAATTATCAAGTCTAAAAATGTTTATTTCATTGCAAATCTATAAAACACTACAACCTTTGAATTCGCTTCCTTGCATTATTATCCAACAAACGGTTGATGGTCCCTAAGCGATATTTCGCATAAGTTTGAAGTGGAAGAAAGTGAAAGTGTTTCAGAAATGTGACCCCTTCAAAGAGACCGTTTGTAGTGGAGAATTGGAATGGACTGCTGGTTTAATGGAAGTCACCAACGGGAGTCGAAACATGTGAACACTTTGTATTCCTCTTTTTGTCTTTTTTTTTGAACATTTATTCTTAATTTATAACGTTTAGATTGAAGGCTGCATGTTGTTCGTATCATGGCATGAAGTATTCGCGGTTGATGAAAACCATATTCCTTGGACACGATGACAGGTGAGATAGAATTAATAACAGAGCTAAATTATCATCATTTATTCTTGATAACCAACTTTTAGATTTGATGGAGGTTTAGTCCAAATGTCGGATAATAAGCCAGCGTTTGATGTGATTAAGGAAGTACGAAAAACGATGAACAGTGACCATAAGTACGACAGTTTTGAGAGCACTTAAACTACTTCCTTGAATTTTCTATTTCTGTAATACTCATGGTTTCAGGATGCAATACATTGTTACAGTCCACAGAATTGTATGCGGTAATGCCACGGCTAGTCAAGGTTAGTAAATTTAACATATTGTGAATCAGGGCGTAAGAAGTATGATGGCAAGTGGTGCACTGTCACATGCGCATAGTCCGGGAATCAAATCCCGGATCGATACCCGCCCAGCAGGCCAACTGAGCCTTTCATCGATCCGGAGGATGTTTGAGAGGATAAAAATGCTGACATGTACATCGGCTCAGCACCGGAATTCTTTGATCAGGCCACATATGCATTCAAAGAATCTTACAATTCTGGATGGAAGTCGTATGTGAGGGCGTAGTGAGGGCTATCAGCCTTGATTCGTATGGCTATTTTGAAAGTTTTCCTTATAGTGCCTTACTAATACTAATAAAACTGCGTTTTATTTGGAAAATGATTTGGAGAGATTTGACCTGCAAATCATTGAGCGGGATGTACTGTCGCAAGCAGCGGCGGGAATTGTGAAGTCTTCTGAGGTGTATATACGGGAAGTGAGCTCTGAGCGTCATGTTTTTTACTAACAATAAGGTAACAGAAGATCAGAAGATATACTGGATGGAATTGATGATGTGGCCTTCTGGTCCCCTACAAATCCTACTACCCTATGTTTCCTGGAAGGACTAGACCCACAGTTGGACCGACCGGAATACCGTCTAGTCTTCACGTTTGTCTAGTGTTCACGTAAGTTGTCCACCAAGAAGCTTTCTTTGGGACCTTCAAAACTGTTCGGTTCCATCAGTACCCTATACTCCTTTGTATTTTTACTGCAAGATGAAGATGACAATTGTTTCAGAGAACGCAATGCTCCTACAGTTGTACAGCATTTGCAGTAGTTCACACATTCCTACAGTGAACTAATTTAATTATAGGAACACCTTCCCGTGGTATTTCTCGGAATAAACGTCGATTGAACAATGAAAAGAGAGAACAAGAAAATAACGACGATGTGACGGAAAACGAAAATCGGTGAGCATTAACCACTCGATATAAGCAATCAATACCAGTCTTGCATAGCATACAAGCTTAGTTTGAACGGGTGTGGTGCAGAAACGAAATTGTCGTTAAGGAGTTCAGCAGAACTGATCAGAAGCATCGCGGCTACTAAGAAATGCAGGAACAAAAGAATAGCAGAATCATGCCAGAGATAAATGATAATCGCATATCGGTCGGGTTGTAGGAAGAACGCTAGAAGGGCAATAATGAGACAACTGGCCCGGGACTGTCGCGTGCGGCGTATCGACGCGCAAAACCGATTCGATTGCCCGTCCCCCGTTTACACCTCGATTCGTATGGTTATGAGAGAAGAAAGGGAATATCAGAACTCAATAAGAATTACTCTGACATGATACGAAGCAGGAAGTGATGTAATATAGTCTGTGATAACAAGAGCTCAATGATAATAATATTGTAGCATAGCCTGTGATAAGTAAGTCATTGGGCGATCTGAGGAAGTTAACTTGCTAACACAGTTTCGGCAGAACCTCCTAAGTCGATTAATTTGTGCATCGAGAACTGTTCCGATTAAAGGCAAAGAAGGGTTTGGAATGAAGTCGATATCGGGTCGTAATTCTAAAAGCTTGTAGAAAAAATTAGTGAATTTTCAGATACCGTGGTGGTTACGGAATGCCGGGTCGGCGACGACACCCTTATAGAAGGCGTCCATCGGCGAGAACCTACGATGATGAGTACTATGACTATGAATATGAGGTTTACGTCCCTCGACAGATGCTATCAAGGTACGATATTTGAGTATTAGTAAGTGCCAAAATAAAATCACTGAAATCACAGAACGAAAAACTCCAGCATAATTTCCAGCACTTCAGTTTCCCCCGCAAAGGGCATACCGACAAGAAA